CTAGACTCAAGAACTGTGAGCCAAATAAACTTCAACACTTACAAATTATTCCGTCTATGATAGTGATGGCAAACCTTTTAGAGCTTTCAGTGATAACAAACAGCCCACTGTAGCATGCATTCCATAAGTTCCCCACCACTGTTCTATGGTATTACATTACAATAACAGAAAACAGACTAAACAGCTAGTACACAGACCACCAGGCTTCAGTATGGAGAATGGACTTCGGTCAAGAAAAAAAGCAAGAAGAGCTGCTACCAGGTTTTTATCACGGCTCTAGCCAGAAGACATGATGGTTCAGGCTGGGATATTGCAGTACAGATGATATTAGATGGTCAAAGAAATATAAGATTTAGTGCCTGCTTATAAAATATCATTATCATAAAGGAAAAACAAAGATGAGTTAGGAAATTGTTTCATACCTAAACTTGTTGGGTTGTATTTGCTGTTCAAGAGCTAAGACCCACAAATACTTCCTTCCAGTTTTGTGTAAGAACACACATATATGGAAGCTTGTGCCTAAAAATAACTTTTGACTAAAAGTTTGAGTCCAAAGTGGAAAAGTGTTGACAATAGCTGTTTCTGATATGGGAAAAGCCCTACAGGACACCCTAAAGAAAAAGAAAAGATGGGGAAAGAAACATAAAAAATAAATCAAAATGAAATTTTAAATGAAAAATTATTTCACAGAGGAATTCTTGAAAACTTCATAGAAAAAATGAATTCCTTTGGCCTCTGGCTTGACAAATTTGTACAGCAAAAAAAGGCATGACTCTCTCTTCTTCATTTTGACTTTCTATTGAATTTTGGTGATTTTTTAGGATAAAAGCTATTACAGACATTTCTACATTGCTTTTTAAAGTGTAAACATGTACAGATTTTCTATAAGAGATTTTGGCAGAAAGTATAAAAGTAAAAAATATATATATTCTTGATGATGCTAGTTATATGAATTTATCCTAAAAATCTAAATACATAAAAAGAATTTTGCAAAAAATAATTACAGAATTATATATTTCAATTTAAAAATTTGAAATAACCTAAATGAACAGAAACAGAAGATTGACATCAACACCATAGATAACTTTTCTGTATCTTTATTTAGGTAAAAACACATATAGGAAAGAAGGAAATCTGGGGAAATCCTACAGAAAGACTCCTTTGGGGTCTGTCTGAGTATGGAAGTCTTTCCTATGGTACCTGGTCATGACAGGAGAATGGCACTAAGTATGAAATTCTAGATTTAGCAAAGGAAATCTCTGATCATCTGTTATTTCAGACCTCACGTTTTAGATCCAAAAGGAAAGTAACTGATAAAAAGAAAGCCCCTTATTATGGGTTGTGCCTAGATGTCCCCCCAAAGCTTCATGCTATCGTAAGTAGCGTTTTCAGAGGTGGCTTGATCTAGAGTTTGTGATGCTGGGATTGATTCATGGTGCAATGCTAGGTTTAAGGGTGGCCCACCCTGAGTGTGTTACCCACCTTAAGGGCGAGTGGCCTGGATAAAACACAAGGGCCAGGAAAGGGCTGCCTGTAGCTTGCTGCTTTTGCTGCCTCCTGCCTTCCTCCTTTCATGCCATGAACTGCTTTTTCTGTCTGTGATGCCCCTCTGCTAGGTCACCCTGCCTTGGAACCAGTGGATTATGGACTGAAACCTCTACAAACCATGAGCTGAAAGAGACCTTTCCTCTCTTAAATTTGGGTATCAGGTATTTTGTCTCAGCAGTGAGAAATGTAACTAAGACACTCCCCAAAAGATGTAGCATAGAACTACTGGTTTATCACTTTGGAACTGAAACAAACTGATTAGTACCTCGAGATAAAAGATGTAATCACTCTGTCAGTATTTATTTACATTTGGGTACTGGAATCATCTGTGTTTTGCAATGTTTCTTTTCTCACCCTTTTTTTTGGTCTGTATTAGATGTCTACTGCTATTTTGCTCTTTGAAGTGTCTAAAAATCTCTAGAGTTTCGGTTTTTATGAAATAGAAAGAAAGGACCCAAGAAGCAAAACCAAAGAGGATAAAATGAATTGGCTATCACTAAATGTCTCAGTTTTATGTTGAAAAAGAAAGAGAAAAGAGAAGATAAAAACTTGGAAAAATGAAAAAAAAAAAAAAAAAAAAAAAACAACCATTTTGCAGCTGTATTTCAGTGGCTGAACACTAGTACCCCCACCCCCTTTGGGTCACCTCTGGATTACTTTTCACAATTAATAGGAAAGCTGAAGAAACAAATGACAGAAAATTTAATTGCAGGTACTAACCCTGAGGTCAAGAATGGAGGCAAAAAATTTAATCTGATGACTTTATGTACTGCATCAAGAGAAAAAGAAAACACAATGTGTTTACATTTTAATGATTTTCACTTTTAATTAGTGACTGCAAAGATTTTAACACACTTATTTTGGCCCCTCAAATATCATATCATTTTAATTGGTTTCCAGGTTTAAAAAATAAAATGTTTTAGAGAACATGTTCAGGGCTTATTTTTCTTTGAGGAACAAAAGGTAACTCAGTACACTGTGATAAAATTTACTGTAGAAGTTTTTAAAACAGATACGTTGTAAACAAGGTTTACATTCTTGTGACTCTGGTTTAAAATCTGTCTAAAAGGTAACAATGTCCTCTTGGTTATGATCACATTTGTACCATCCTAATTCACCAAAATTCTCAGGAGAGATCATTTATGTGTAACAAAACACATTTGATGCAATCAAAGCTGTATTTTAATGTTCTCGTTTGCAGAATTGTGTGATAATACTGGCCTCTCCTTTGGATCTAGAAAAAACAATCTAGATCCACCCTCACCCCCATTTCCTCTGAAATTTAGTAGTTTATAATGATTGCAAAAGATGATGTTTTGTTTCTTTATACATAATGATTGAGGCGCTTCCCTGGAGATCGCTTTTGACAACACAAAGTTTCTCATTCAAGGAATAAGAGGATTATGACCATTTTATTGAAGAGGACTCTTGGTCTGTCTCATGTTTGAAGGGGCATTTCCATCCCAACGACAAAAATGTATCACTAAAAGGAAGACTGTTGTAACCAAGTATCCAGGTTCACTGAGGAACATAATCATTGTTTAAGCTGCGTTAGCAGTTTTCACCCATACTATCAGAATACAGTGCCCTTCATAGGTTGAATAAGCTGTTCCCTAAAGATCACATTGCTCCTGAACAGTCACGATAGTAAAGAAATGAAAGCAACAACCCAGTGTGATTCCAGTTTGACACTGGTTGAAGAATCTGAAAACTCCCATAGCACTCACTGCTTGTGAGTATTTATTTGGGAAAATAAAACAGTGACTGACTGCAGCCATTAGCTTTTTCCTGTTGTGATCTTCCTTTTTTCATTTTGTGTGAGATTAATTTGTGACTGAGATTTATTAGCCTAAAGGAGGCTAGTGTTGATGAGATTTTGCTGATATACGGCATAGAACACACATCAAGTCAAAGAGGAAAGATGAAAAATTGAAATGATAAAGTTGCATTGCTAGCTTGTTGCTGAGGTAATTGAAGTGGCTTGTGTTGTGTTGTGCTGTGATGGGTAGAAATAAAATATGTACAAATTTATCTAGATCATACTTCTAAAGAAAGGACTACAAAATATATTCCCTCTCTATTTATATGTAGAGGAAGTCTTCCGATTCTTTTCTGACAGTGATTTTGAAGCAAAATGAAAATGAAACCCATTCAGAGTAGCTCTGGAAGTGAAGCCAGCTCTCAGCTACTCATGGAAATAGACACAGGGTTAGCAGAGATAATTGAAATATGAGCATAATGCAAAAAGGGTGTTTTGTCTGTTAGGTGAAACCACAACCCCATATACTGTAATTTCTTTTTAACGGAACTGAAATAAAGTAGCGAATTGGATTTAGTTTTTTTAACCTGTCCAACTTTCCCTGTAACAGAGCTTCTATTTACCAGTAAAATGCCTAAAAATACATACTCACCAGAATTTATCCACTTATCCGCTTACCACAAGTGTCACTTGGGTAGTGTGTTTGTTTATGTACTGACTGTCCCCCGCATTGCTCAGGCAGGTGTCATTTCAACCAGTTGATTCTTATAATGAATAAATTTGACAAAAATTGTAGTTTTTCATTTATTATATTATTTTTAAAAATTACTGAAAATATGCAAACTTTGGTCACCCTATATTTAAATAAGTGGACTAATAAGTGGTTAAAAGGATACAAAAGGCCAGAGCTTTCACACTCATGAGGAGTCAGCTACATGGGAACAGAAACCTTCAGACTTTCTCTGCAAGTCCAGAACAGAGAAATCTTTAGATTTCCTAAGTACTCAGAACTGAGCTATCAAGTGTCGGTGCCCAATAGGACATAGCTGAATTACCCAAGCACACACTCAGTCCTGCACTGCTCAGACCGGACTAGCTGGTATGAGTACAACCACAAGACTTTCTTTGCCTCCTGGTATTGTTTAGCAGACATACATGTCACATAGCAACCTGGTAGTGGAGGACAGTCTGCCAGCACAAGCTCTGCCTATAGGACCCCAGCCCAAGTCTACTGGACATGTATTGGTCTTGAAGGCAGGATGCCTGGAGAGTGGGCATTTTCCTGCCATCATCAACTCCAGGGTCATGCAGATATCAGTGTCAGGAGGTTAACCTCACTCAAAGCCCTTAATGACCAGCAAAGATTGCACTATGCCCCCAAAATTCCCTTTAGTTCACTCAAATGTCACATTTATGAGGTTACAGAGGACCTCCACAGAGTTGAGGGAATTACAGTCTGGACATCACCATCTTTTCCATTCTCACATAAGTTAAATGAAGTTTAAATTAGTAAAATTCCTTCAAGAGGAAAAACTAAAAGCACAAAAAGCAGCTTTGAGGGAGGCTTGTGAAAACAAGCGTGCTTCAATTCAGTAAAGACTGTAGGAAACTGTCTTTATGAGACTTCAGGTTTTGGAGGGGGAAGTGAGGAAAGGGCTTTTTGTACCAATGGGAGTCATTTCTTCCATTTCAGACTGCCTTCTGCACGACCTTCACACCAGACCAGAGGTTGCTACACCCCAACTGCAGTACTTGTATTTCAATGACTCAGGGAAAGCAACAAACTTAACCTGAGAAGATTCCACTTCTGTGTTAGTACCTCTTTGTTTTAGTTCTCTTCACAGCAGCCTGGGCTCCAAAGGATACCAGGAACATACTTCATCTTTCCTGCATGAAAGCTTGATGGACACAAGGGGACCCATTATGATTCTGTTCTCTGTCAAGACTGCTATGATGACAACTGATCTCTAAGACCTTTTGCTGCTCAGTCTCTGGAAAGATATCAAAGTCTCAAACTGCCCCAGACAGAAGGAGCTCCTCATAAGGAGAAAATAGAAAGAGTGCTGGTTCTGGAAATTCATTGGGTGGGTGCTGTAGGGAAGGCATCCAACTATTATGAGGCATATCTTGTTCATATATTAAATTGAAATAAAACATAAGGAAAGCTGTTGTGGTGATTGTGTGTAAGATGTTTTACACAAATGAAGCACTGATGTATTCTACAGCCTAGATGAGCATTGAGGACATCATTGTAAGTGAAAGAAACCTGTCCCAAAAGGCCATATACTATATTATTCAATGATATGAAAGTCCAGAACAAAGAAATCTTTAGAAAGCAGATCACTGGTATCTTAGGGTTGGACAGTGGGGATAACTAAAGGATGCATTTGCTAAAAGCATTCTAAAATTGAGTAATGGTTGCACATATCAAGAATGCAATAAAACTAATGAATTGTACATTTCTATGATATGAATTACATCTCTATTGTTTATATATACATACATGATGTTTATATATATATACATGTTGTTTATATATATGTATACATATATACATATATCACAGTGCCTATCACACTTTAAATATTTGAAAAGTGTGAGCCATTATTGTTTCTTGATTCATTTGATAGATTTGTTAAATTCCTAAGCTGAGTCAGGCTGACTCCTCTAGTTCTTCTTATTTTTTAGCAATTTTACATTTTAAACCTTTGTATATGCTTAGAATATGTAAACGTTTTATGCCATAAAAGTCCAGAATGTTATCATGATGAAAATGCCTCATGTTGAGAAGATAAAATTAACTTTGGTGAGTAAAATGTTTTAGGTGTAAATTTTTTATAGTCACTAAAACCCTGCCACCATATAAGGATCTTAAGAATATGCACAAAACATTTTCATTTATTCAAAATTAGACTTAGTTTATTTATAGTACACTTAGATAGTTCCAAATGAAAAATATATAATTTAGTGACAGCAGAGCAATCCATGTTTCTATGGATTTTAGCATTCCATAGTCAGCTATCATAGAGATAAAATTCCTCATTGAATATTGTAAGCCAAATAAACTTTAAAGGCCATATCTGAACATCAGAAGGCACTGAGTAATTATTCTAGATACCTCTACAAACACCTCTGCACTACATTTCCCGTCATTTTTACAAAACAAGTTTTCCCTCTTGCTCTTCTGTCCACCCTCAACCACTCTCACTTCCACCTTCCCAGAAAGACTGTAGGTAAAAGGTAAAATAATAGATTTGTAACCAAAGAATTAAAGAGAAAAAAAAACAACAGGACTTTAAAGTCCACTACCAAATAGAACATTCTTTTACAAAAAATTTTTGGATCTCCCTCAGCAAATGCAGAGATTTAAATTGTGTTGAGTTATGCCAAACTGGCTTGTGTGCCAGCTCCAAGCTGGCTGCCTTTTTCATAATGGTGGCCCTGAGCACAAAAGAAAACAAACAAGCGCAGTGAAAAGACCAAGCAGCCAGCAGCCAAGCTCTCTTCTCTGAACCCTAACTCCTTTGTTTTTCATTTCAGAGCCCATAGGCTGCTCACCAGCGTGCTTCCCAAACTGTCTAGTAAGTTCTCAGAAACCAGGGCAGGATGAAGAGTGTTGCAGACACTGGTGAAACCCAATTTCCTGGGGAGTTTTGCTGAAATCTTGGCTGCAAGGGCTGGACCCTAGGTAGGAAAAGTAAGTCTGTGTAGGTGAAGGATTTCTACTTTAAAGTAATGCTTTCCTGGTACCCTTGTATTCTTCATAAACCCACTGTCAGTGGGTAATATAATTCACTCTGTTTGGGTTACTCTGATTCAGAAATTGCTTGTAAAGTAAGTGAATCGCCACACAAGTTAATAGTAGATACTGTACTTAGAAACGTTTTAGCAATCTATGACAAGTTAAAACAACTTCTGCCAAATAAAATTCAGCCTAAATCATTATCAGTATTTCAAAGATTGGTTCCCAAAGTATTGAGAAGGAAACTTCACATGTTTCTCCCTTAAATCAGGATTGATATTTGCTGGGAAAGAGGAATGTTATCAGTGATCACTCTACTCCATCTTAGCAAAATATTTCCTGTTCCTATAATAAGAATACCCTAGTTGGTCTATTAACTTCCCCCAAATTGTTCTTGCTTGCTACTTTCCAATTAGCTCCCAGATCCAGAAACTGGATGAGGGTAGAAAGATATTCAAGCACAGCCCCTTTCTGTTTTCTTGCAATCATGCTGCTGGCAGTGAACCAGGACAGACAGAATGTGTGCTCAGGGCTCCTGACAGCTGCTGGACTTAGATTCTGTCTCTCTTTCTCTTTAACATGCTTCATTCTTTGCTCTCTTAGAGTGAAGAATATGTATTGACTTCGTGGAACCACTGCAGAGAGCTGTAAATGATGCATTTAATGAAAAATCCTTGCCTTGTGCTCAGAGAGAGAACACAAACAAAGTAGGGCAATCATTGCTGGGCAGTGGTGGGTGCTGTAATATCACATTCATCTGCTTCACCAGCAAGACAAGTGTAATAACTGGAAATATTCCAACAGTATATAGGAAGGAATATTAACTAATATTTTAATATATCCATTATTTATTGTTTCTGCTGTCCCTATGGGGTAATCCTTTATTCTTAAAGATTGGTAACTTTTTTGTCAGAGTTTCCCAAATCCTATATCCTGAAAGGACACACAAAAGGATTTTGAAAGATTACTTTTTTGGAGAAATTATATTACAATTTTGATTTTCTGCAGAGTTCTGTACTTATTGCTACTACACTTGTATTTCAACATTGAATTTCAGGTTATTGAAAAAATTGTTTTTTACAGTTTCTCTCTTTTCTTCAAAAACAAACAAAATAAACAAGATTTAGCCTCTTCAAACAATAATGGGAAGTACAACCAAAGTGACAAAGTCCAATCTAAATAAGCACCTGTTAAATCACAGGCACCACATGGCAAAGCCTGGTTTGGGAGAGACTAGAGTCAGTTCACAGGGCACCTAGGCTCTCCAGCATCGTTCACACTGTTGCTTGATTTCATATTCTCCAGGATGACCACACACAATGCCCTGGTATGCCTGCTGGGCATGCATCTCCTGTAGTAGCCTGATGCACACTCTACCAGCTAAACATTCCTAAAAGCACATGAACACTGTACAGCCAATGACAGTCACAGGCAAGGTAGCCCACAACTCCCCCAGCTTGCCTTCCACTTACACCCTTGAGAACTGGAGCTTACAGACCCAGAGAAAAGTTAGCTCAAGGCTAACAGCAGGTGCCACCCCCAGACACCAGCCTGTCTTGTTTTCCCCTGTGCTTAGTAGATATACCAGTCAACTCCTGTTCACATTACCCAAGGCTCTATTCTTCCTGCAAACAGTATCTTCCTGTGATGTTCTAGTATTCAATCACTGCACTACTAAGTCCAGCCCAGTGTTATTTTGTTTTGTTTTGTTTTCCTTTAACTGTCATTACTATTTACTGTATGAATAAAGGGACGAGCTTTCTAGGACACTTATGGTATCACTTGTGCACAACCTATGGGTCTTTGTTTATCTTTGCTTTGTTCTATGCATAATCCAACAACACATTCCAAGACAAAATCTATCTGTATCTAAAGCTTTGGTCAATTCCAATGGGAGGGTATCAAGCATGGGATAGGTTATTGTATAAATAAGGAGTGGGCAGAGTTTTCAATGTTGTTGTTATGCTGGCTTGACACAGACACAGTGCAAATTTTAGCAATGGTCACTCATTTTTTTCTATTATGTTTAACTTTGACAGGTTTCCCAGATTCCAGGATGGTATGCTGCATCCCAGTGGTTCTGGAGTACGCCTGCACACCAGAGGACCCAAAGGAAAATTATGGCACACCTGCGTATTGAGAAGCCTTCTAATTAAAACTGAGATGGAGATATCTTACTTTTAAGCATATCTAGTTATAAAAATGTTCATATATAAACATCCATAAAGGACCACAGGATGACTAGCATCTTACTAATTCTAAGTATTAGTGAATTCCTTGTAAGATTTCTTTAAATAACTTCTTTAATGTCGTATCACAAAATACATTATAAAAATAATTCACATACAAGTTGCAGATTTATATTTTCCAAAACCATTTCTAGAAATATGCCATATTAATCCCTTAAAAATTCCATATCTCCTTTAATTTAAGTATCCCTTGTTTTACCTTTACTTTCCTATTTGTTTTATCCAGCTCACCAGCCCTTTTAAGACTTTAGTAAATCATTCATAACCTCTTGTATTCAAGCTCTACCAGATGTTATCATTCCAAATCTTGTTATCATGCTCTTTTTCTCTTAAAAAAAAAGCACTGTTTTGAGTTATTTCTCCTTTTGTCTTCTTTCTATAATAATCTTATTTACTGGAATCCCACAGTATTTTGCTGTGTGATATTTGGGGAGATAAAACATTGCTGCTGTACTTCTCTAATCTCTTTTCCTGGGCAAATGGGATCTCCTTGGGAACACTGTATGAGCTTTATGCAGAAATCTGCTGTATAAAACATCACAAACATCGTGCTATCCTTTATACTAAAAATCTGTTACTGCTAGTGGTCTGCAACTAAGCCCAGTGACACACCTAGGGAGTCCATACACATCAGTGAGCAGATGTAGTTTGCTTATTTATAGCATGCTTCCTTTAAAAAAAAACTAGTGGTGGAAATGTTTGGATCACATTTAAATAGTTATAAAAATAAAGATTTCATTTTGGTCACTCTTGAAAAAAAATTTAAAAAAATAAAACATCACAAACAACATTAATACTTTACCCTAGTTTTTCTACTTCCTGAAGCTTTTTAAAGAATGATTTGAATGTTCTCACCCTAACTGACAGATTCCTGTTTTAGAAGATCAAGACTTCTTTGACCAAAAAGAATGTTTATCATCAAGAAATCAAATAATAATAAGTGCTGGTGAGGCTATGGGGAAAAGGAGCCCTTCTACACTGTTGTAATGTAAAGTAGTACAACCACTATGGAAACTTGTATGGAGATTTCTTAAAAAAAAAAAATTAAAATTCCATTCCATCCAGATATTCCCCTGTAGAAGATTGGAAAAAGAGTTAAAAACATCATATTATAGTGACAGATGCATATTCATGTTTATAGCGGTACAACTCACAATAGTTAAATCTTAAAAGGAGCTTATATGTCCATCAAAGGAAAATGGATAAAGGAAATGTGGTATTTGTATACACTGGAGTATGACTTTGCCATAAAGGAAGATAAAATTTGAGTCATTTGTAGAAAAATGGATGTGCCTTGAGATCATACTGTTAGATGAAACAAGTCAGATATACAAGTTTAAATATCACATGTTCTCTCTTATATGAGAAACTCAAAGTATGAACATTAAAAAGCAAAATAAATGATAAACAATAGGAAATAAAGAAACAGATCTTTTGCAAATGGGAAGGGGACCTAGAGATGGAGGAAGGGTGAGAGGGAAGGTAAAAGAAAAGTAAAAAGAATTAAGGAATATTACATATATGTACCAAGTCCCCACAATGAATGTAATCATTACATACTACAAACGTGTACTAAGAAAAATTTTAAAACTTTAAAAAGTACTTTCAATTTTCTAATATTTTTGGTTTTTCCCTTTTGCTTGGGGAATCATATAGTTATTCTGGCATAATTCTTACATTTGAAATACTGATTTTTTTCTTATTACCAGTGGAGTATTACTCATGTGTTAATATGTGACTCAACTACATACCATTTTCCCACCTTTAAAAGCTATTTGCCTTAACTGAGATAATGTTGTCTCCCTAGTTTTCTTTCCCTGAAAATAAATCTAACATCTACACTATGATATGGGCTATAACATATTTCTTATGTCTGTAACTTTTCCTTTCCTGCCATTAACAGGAAGGATGGATGCATTACACTTTCATATAGAGACTCGAAATATATCACAACTCAGCTAGCACTTACAGGTTTGAATGAGTATGAAGTGCATTTACTGGATGCAAAAGTTGAGCTCAGTCTCAACCTGGTAAAATTTTCTCCTTGGGACCCTCCTTGGTGTTCTCCTAAAACCAGTATCAGTCATCTGTTTTCGGCCACATACACTAAACACATGGAAGTACTTACAGCCTATGGAACACTCTTTGGGATTGCCAAGCTTACCACATCCAGAATTCTCCAGCAATTCTGTAATAAGTGTTGAAAACATTAACAACACCGAGTTTTAATACCTATCTTCTTTTCCTTTCCTATGATCTTCCATGTGCCGCCACTGAGAACTTTTGTTGTTTTTTGTTTCTTTGTGTTTCCTTTTCCTTTTCTTTTTTTTTCTTTTTTTTTCTTTCTTTCTTTCTCTCTTTCCTTATTTCTTTCTTTCTTTTTCTTTCTTTGTGCTGAGGATTGAACACAAAGCCTTAAGCATCCAAGGCAAGTACTCAACCACTGAGCTGCAATCTCAGCCCCTATTACTAACTTTCAATATTTTTCCAAAAATACAGAATGGTGCCTTATAAATTAGAAAGTTTAACATCTCTAACAACTTTATATTGCTAACTTTAAGAAGCGTGGAAATAACACTTTAAAAGATATTATCAATAATGAACTTCTTTATAGAACTGTTTCAGTGGCATAAAACTAATTTGCTTCCTTTAAAACACTCATATGTGCATTCATACATAGTACTACACATTCAGAGCCTCCTGGGTTATTCCCTGTTGGTTATTATCCCGTTCCCCAAGCTTAGAGAATCTAGGGTTGGTTTTATCAAATGAGTTGCACTTAATTAAAAAAGAAGAGTGGGATGATTGGGAGAATCTCAAAGCACCGGTTCTTCTCAAGGAACATAAACCAGGACATCAAGCTCCACTGGCCCGCTTCTCATGGAGAAACATCCTCATTCCTCCTGTGGGACATCAGGAATTTACTTATCATTACTTGCTTCACTTTTCTGCCCTTTCATCCATTATTTGCCACCTCCTTTCTCTCAGGACACAGCTCTTCCGGCTCTTCAAATAGTTCTTTACAAGTACGTCATTCTTCACATCCTCTCAGCACCATGTAATCAATTCTTTTTTCCTTTGGAGTCAAGCACCCTCTTCTTGCAAATAAGATAGATTTGCTGCTACTCGACCTCTTTTCTTTCTCCCTCAGTTTCATACTACAGATAAATTCTTCCTTTGGTTGTTTTTTACTTCTGTTATTCATGCTTTAAGTTCTTAATTTTTATACAAATAGTTCTTTGAAAGCCTTTAGTCTCATGCTCTGCCTTATAACTGTTCTCTCTCATGCTTAACTAAGACATGTGTCATCTCAGTATGATCTACCTTTTAAAGGAGCTTTCTGCTTATCTTTTTCATTTCAACATACTGTAAAGTAGATTTATTCCTCTACCATAGACCTTAACTAGATGCTTTGGATTTAAAAATTCAGTTTGAGTGTTATCTAAAAATTATAATGAAAAACCAGGATTCACCCAGATGTTAGAAAATATATATCATCACACATCACTTCATAATGGGGACACATTCTTAGAAATATGTCATTAGACAATTTCATTGTTTTGTGAACATCAAATGACATACCCACCAAAGCAAGATGATGGTGGTCTATCACTCAACATGACCTCTTGATGGAACAAAGAGATGCATAGTCCTCACAAGTTGTGATTTGCTGCTTGTAGTGGACTGATAACTGGTGGTCAACTTATAACCCCCAGCTGAACTGAGTAA